AGACTAACAACATTTGTGGCAGGGTAGGAGCTTTCGTGAATCACTGCTCACTTAGTGACTCGTGAAAGCTCATACCCTGCCACAAATTTTGTTAGTCTTTAAGGTGCTACTGGACTCTTGCTCTTTTCCTCTGCTATAGACAGACTAACACAGCTGTCTATCTTAGTTCAAATTCAGTATTGTCTTTAGCATTCATACTTGTTTGGGACAAGAGATACAATTTGGAAACATCTTAAGGCATACGCATACTATCAGTACATCAGAACCAAACTCCAGTTTGCTGCTTGTATCCTGCTTCTTACCCACATACTAGTGGTCAATGTACAGTGCAATCCTAAGCAGAATTCTACCCTTCTAACCCGCACTGAAGTCAATGGGTTTGTAAGGATCCATTGAGGATCGCACTGATAGTCATAGATACAGTATTCCAACTAGCCAATCTTCTAAAGAAGTGAGATTGAAACTTTTTTCCTTTTGCATCGCAACGACCATTCTTAGTGCTCAGGGACTTAGTCCGATCGAAAAAGATATTTTCACAGGTGCCTTTTGTCATGGTGCAGTGCCACAGGGAAGAAAAGTTGCAAAATTTCCTCTTACGCATAAACATAGATATCTTGTGCTGTAAATTGCCTCCGGTCACCCTTTTCAGGAGTGCTGGTGCAGCTCATACTAGGCTGTTCTCTATTCCTTTGGGCCCTGCAAGAAGAACAGTATAGTGCACAAAGGCCATGCCCCCAATCTGCCAGTACAGATGTTCTCTGGCATCAATTCTACATCGGCTACAAAGGCCCTTAGTACGGTGCTGTATTCTCTGTGGGCCAGAATCCTGACAGAACACCACTAATGGGCTTCTGTGTAACTGGAAATCCATCCTGTGATTACAGACGGGCAGTTGCAAATTAGAGGTCAGTGCACAATATTCCGTCCCAGTTGGACTCCTCAGAGCGTTTCCTTCCCCAGTAAACTGCCAGTTGCAAGGCACTACACAGAACTTTGCTACTTTGTGACACTGTTAAGAAATAACACAATCAGATTGCTATAAATATGTGGCCAAACTATCCCCAGGAAATTTCCAGGCAGCAAAAACAAATATACATTTCAAAAATACAGGAGCAGTTAAATGAAAGCTCACAGGGCAGAGGAATGCATGCAGTGCATAAATATTAACCTCCCACCCATCCTTATATACAATTTTCTTAGACACCAAACCAATTTAATTTGGATTATATCCACTCCCAGTGGAATCTAGAACTGAGTACTTCAGTCCAATCGACCCAATGGCAAACTGCACTAAAAGCCATTAAATCTGCCTCTGTGGTCTTATGACTAAGCCTTATCCATCCCAAAATTCTCTTGCAGGTGTACTGGTACCCTACTAAATTTTATCACATTGGTCTCACTGAGAATCAGGGGTCATTTGGAGCCGGAACGAGCCGAAGCACCATTCCAGCAGCCCAGGAGCGGGCACAAATGGTGGTGGCGGTGGTGGCAAGCACTGCCCCCAGCTCCCACCAGGCTTGCGGAGGAAGCGAAAAGAGAAGGGATTTAAAGTAATAATGCCTTTTCTCTAGAGTCGTGCCGCAGCAGCGGCACAATCTCCTATTGTATCCTATGGCCCCATAGAATGCAATGCGAAGATGGCACGACTCTAGGGAGAAGGGGTTTAAACTTTAAACCCCTTTTCTCTTCACTTCCCCCCCCCCCCGCCCACCTTGGCAGGCCGGCTGGGGGAGCAAAAAGGGGGGGGGGATTGTGCGGCGGCACAATCTTTCCATTGTATTCTATGGCCCCATAGAATGCAATGCGAAGATGGCACGACTCTAGGGAGAAGGGGTTTAAACTTTAAATCCCTTCTCTCTTCGCTTCCCTCCCACCCCACCTTGGCAGGCTGGCTGGGGAAGGGCGTGGTATATGCTAATGAGTTATGCTAATAGGTATGCTAATGAGCTCCTGCACCTCTTTTTCTACAAAATGACCCCTGCTGAGAATGATTCCTGTTGGCACTGTTGGAAGCCTAGAGCTAACCTCATTCACATGTTTTGGAATTGCTCTAAAATCACACATTTCTGGCAGGTGGTTATATCCAGGATCAGTCTCACACTAGCTGCTAACTTAGACTTCCCAGATAATAATCTATTTCTAGAATACATACCAACTCTATGGGCACTCTCAAAATACCACCTATTTTGGATTCAAAGGGCAGCTTTAGTCACTAAGTGAATCATTTCACCGCACTGGAAATCTCAGTTATCTCTCTCTCTCTATGCTTGCATAGGGAAGTGTATGCTTGCATTAAAAGGCAAGTGACACCACCAGTAAGGAGCAGCTTGCAATGCCATCCAAAGCTGACTTCAGTGGATCTAGAAGGGCAGAACTCTGATCAGGATTGTATTGTTGGGCCCCCAGCTCATAGGAGTGCTTTAAAACAGATCACAGTGGAACTAGTAGAAGGCTTCAATAAAACCAGGGCTTTTTTTTTTAAAGAGGTGCCGGAACTCTCAAGAGGGAAATGAAGTTTACAATCTGTATACTGAAAACTCACCAACTTTTAAACATTTTTAAAAAAAAATTGTCAAAGAGGTTCCAGAATGCCATTCCTCCAGGAAAAAAAATCCCTGAATAAAACAGAAGTCTAGTGACGCCTAACAAAATTTATGCCAGCGCTGCTTTCATGAGTCAGACCTCACTTCTCCAAACACATATGGAGGGATTAATCAAACAAAGAAGTCGCCAAGCTTAATGGTCACAGGGTTATTGTGACACCTGATTTTGTATAGTCGAGCCACTCCATCAGCGGCAGGGCAATATTGCCTTCAGTTTCCGTGCAATATAAAAACACGTTGATGGGGCCAAAAGGCCAAGGGATGCAAGTGGCACAGTCAGGGTCACTTCCCTGCGGGGCTCCTTCGTCGTGTATAATTCCATTCACCGAAACTGCTGCTCAGACAATTCCCCCAGTTTCGTTCCTGCTACTTTGGCGAAGGAGAAAAAGTTCGGCGAGGTCCCGACTGAGCCCCGGACGGATAGGACGAAACGTTCCCACTACCCGGTAATGGAGCGCTACCAAGCCGTCGTTCGCAGCTCCACTTCACCCGCCCGGCCAATGGAAGGCAGGGCTCGGCCCCAGAGCGTCTGCAGCAGTCAGTAGGGAAGCGAGTACCTTGGAGCGTAGGCAGAGAGCAGGCGCCTTTCTTTTGCCTCCGAAAGCTTCCCTGCACGCACCAGCCCATTTCTTTCCCTTCCGGCGCCCAGGAGGACTCTTCAGCGCCTTCTCCCCAAAGGGACGGGAGCGGTCCACGCCAAAGAGCTCTGCCGGCCTGCCAGCAGCTCCCCTCGACTCGCGGGGAAGAAGAGGCCACAGATCCCCAGCCCGGGGGGGGGACGCGACCAGATTCCGGCTCCCGGGGAGGGCGTGGCGCGAGGAGGAGCGGAGCTGGGGCTGGTCGGAGCGGGAGTCCCGGGCGCAGCAAAGCACCAGCAGCCGGTAAGGAAGGAAGGAAGGAAGGAGGGCGGGCGGGGTCCGGGCTCCTCCACGTGCCCTTCGAGTCTCCCCGGGGCCCCAGACAGGTGCCGAAAGGTCGACAGAGCGCGGGCTTGGGACGCACGTGGCGGGGTCCCCCGGTCTGTTTCTGTGGAAGCCTGTCGGTTCAGTCCCGAGCCCCTGAGGTGCCCGTCCCGTCGGGCCGGTCCCGGTGCACGCTTCCTCGGGAACAAGCCACGCCGGGATTTGGGAGGAACAGAGCGGAGGGACTGAAAAGTTAGCAGGCAAGGAAACAAGCGCTGCAGCGCAGGCTGCTCGCGTTCTAGCCGGGGTGGGGTGGGGGCGAGGGGGAGAGAGCTTTAAAAAGGAAGAAGGCTCTTGAGCCACAGACAACAGGATCGTGCCGTGGTGCGTCGTACACCTCACCTGGGACAAGTAGCAGTCTTGGCTGTGGACTCCAATGGGGAGTAGAATCCTATTTCAGAACTGATACTGAATTGAATGATGGTGGAAGCATATAAGGAAGTTTGTCTGTTATGTGTGCCAGTGCGCTGTTTGAGATGGATGACTTTGAGGGGGGGGGAGTGGTTGTGAAACGCTAGATCCAGGCAAGAACTACCCTATTTACCTGAAATTAGGACTGGGGGGGCAGGGGTTTCCACCTATGCTGTCAAGAAAATTCACGTGTCAGTTATGGTTCTGTACAGAAATAAGAATATTGTTATGGATAACCTTTTCAGGGGCGTTGCCTTATATTCGGGGTCATCTTCCTTTCAGGCAAATACAGGCGTCTAATCCAACCTTCTGCTTCCAGTAGTGACCAGTTCACTCATAGACCCACCTCTGTCCATCCTCAGCATCTGAAATTTGGGATAGACTAGTCTGTATGCAGTAGCTTTTTTTTTTTTAAGTGAAAGTTCTCCCCTCAACACCAGGTTCATCAAATGTCACTTAGACTGATAGAGATTGTTCTAACAAAACACAGAGGAAGCAAGGCATGTCCAAACTGCCTGGCACCCTGTCAGACACCTGCGTGTCTTTATGCAAGCAGATAGGCCTGTATTTGTGACTTTGTGGCTGGAGAGGGGGGGGGAGGAAGTGGAAGGCGATTTTGGGAAAGAGTGGGGATGCATGTTGGTCAAGGCTTTGAGCATGGTTACATTGAGGTTTTCTTGCTTTCATCTCCTTTCTTTTGCTTCTTCCAGGGGTGGCTGTGCCCGCAAAGGAGGAAACTTCAGGAGCAGCCAACCCCCGAAATACAAGAAAAGCACCCCAGGCACTTGATGCAGGTCCCCGGCCACCCCTCGGCACTGTTGACGCATTAACAAGGGTACTGCCAAGGGGCAGGGGTTGTGTTGCTCTCCTATACCCAGGAGTGAACCTAATACATGTGCCAGGGCTTGTTTTCTCCTGCCCTTGGCTTGCTACAGGTGCCAGTGTTGCAGCGAGTCCAGGGGGCACGCAGCAGTGAACAAACAGCGAGACTGCCAATAAGGAGCTGCCCCTGGCAGAGGCGGTGATGCTGGGGTGCTCTCTTTGGGGCTCTGCACCCCCCACGTTGGTTGGGGAGAGAAGGAGGAGAACTGTGTTGCTTGAAGGGTTGCTGCTGGTGGTGGTCTTTCCCAGCTGGGTCTTGGCTCAGCAACTCGCCCGTTGTCCTGAATCCTGTATTTGTTCTGAGGCAGCCAGGACGGTGACGTGCGTCAATCAGAACCTGACTGAAGTGCCGCAGAACTTACCCCATTATGTGCGTAACCTCGTCCTCACAGGCAACCGCATCAGTGGCCTCCAGCCTGGCACGTTCTTCTCTGAACCCCCTCTGGAGCTCAGTCACCTCAACCTGAGCAGCAATGGCCTGGAGTGGGTGGGAGAGAATGCTTTGGCTGGCTTGCCCAGCTTGAAGCAGGTGGACCTCAGCCACAATCTCCTTTCGTCGTTCAGTGCTGCGGCCTTTGGCAACGGCAGTAGCCCCATAGAGGAGCTGGACTTGAGCAGCTCCCTCTCAAACGCTAGCAATGTGACCCTCATCACTGAGCTCCTCCAGCAGAGGGCTTTCCCCAACCTAAGGCACCTGGATCTGTCCAACAACCACCTGCTTTACCTGCCTGCAGACATGTTCTCCTCACTGCCCAACCTCCAGCACCTGAACCTGCACAACAATTCCCTGGTGGGTTTGTATAATATGGACTTCTCGAATCTCCACCAGCTGCAGAGCCTCAACCTCAGTGACAATGCCCTCAAGTGCCTGAGGAATAGCACTGTCTTTCAGCTCCACAGGCTTCTCCACCTCAGTAGTCTTGACCTCAGCCACAACCCTTGGGTCTGTGACTGCCAGATCGAGGACTTGGTGAACTGGCTTAAGGAAAGTGACGTCATTGAGGCCAAAGAGACTGTCAAGTGCTCTTATCCAGATGAGATGCGGGGCAGGCCCTTGGTGACTCTCAACTTCTCAGGCTTGGTCTGTCCTGCACCAACAGAAGACCAAACTCAGCTACAGACTTCTTATGTCTTCCTCGGGATTGTCTTGGCTCTCATTGGAGCTATTTTCCTGCTCGTTTTGTACTTGAACCGAAAAGGGATCAAAAAGTGGATATACAATATCAGGGATGCCTGTAGAGACCACATGGAAGGATATCACTACAGGTATGAGATCAATGTGGATCCCAGGCTCACAAATCTCAACTCCAATTCTGATGTCTGAAGAGGTCCTGAGGGGAAAGCAGGCTGAGCATACAAGTAGCTATGCATGACGGGTAGACTTTAGCTTTATTTCCCCTCTCCATGCTTGCTGCCCCTTTGCACACACACCCTTAAAAGACTTCACAGACGCATTTGTGCCAAGCAGAGAATGATGCCTACCTATACCCAAAGTTCACCTTTTTTGTTGTAGCCCACAGTCAATTGTGCATGGGATTGGGCTGTATGTAGGGAAACATGCTTTTTGCTGCCTGTTTTGCTTTGCAACTCACTGCGAGCCCTTGCTTGCCAAGATCTCTCAGCATCTAAATAGAAAAGGGACACTTTGTGTGTATGCGTCTGGTTTTTCTTTCTTCCTTGTGAGAGTATATTTTTTTAACAAGTACCATTCAACAAAGGCTGCCTCAACTTTTTGGGAGAAATGTTTTGTCCGTTGGTACTTTGTGTTGTTGTTGTTGTTTTTTAAATGCAACTGAATTGTAAAGAATTCCATAGACTATATATGCATAGCTAGAACACTCCTTTTTAAAAAGTTCTCTGTACAAATAAGCAAATAAAATAGTGAGCATGCATAAACTTGACTATTTTACATAGTAGGGAAAAACTGAAAAGCTCAGTAAGGCTGTTTCTGTTTGTAAAAGCTACAGGATTTTTTAAAAGGAAAAATCCACTATAAACTGCACGTGGAGCTGAGTTTGAACTGTTAAATAATTCAATAAATGTTCCTACAAGTAGTTTGTCGGGCTGAAGTTTGCTGGTTAATGTTCCAGTCTGGAAATGCAGCACAATATAGAATAAACATAGTTTCTTTGATAAACTTATATTCCCAGTACAAAAGATGACAAAAAAGGACTCCATTTATCATTAATCTAACTTATGTTTGCTTGGAAGTGTCTTCTTTAGTGTAGTTTACCTTTTGGTGAAATGAGGAATATACAAAGTGATGGTAATTTGCACTTCTTTATTAAAGTCCACAGAAATGACCATCTCTTTCATAATACAATGTCATTTTTCATATCCTGTTTTTAAAAATGGCCATGAGGGTGCAGATGATGGTCTATTAAACTGCCGTGGTGTTTCTCATTGCTTTGCTTATGGCATTCTTTGAAATCAGAGGGTCCAACTTCTAAGGAATGAAAATAACCCAGCCAAAGTTTTAAGCATTTGTATAATCCAGCCCTTTGATTGCATACATAAAAGTCCATTCCACTATGTTCCATAGAGCTTATTTCTGAATAAATGAATATAAAATGGGAAACTAAAACTCCCATGAATTTCAGTGGCAGGGAGTCCAAACAAGTGTTTAGTCCCTTCCAAATGAAATCAATAAATTTTTAAAATGTGCTTAACTTTAGTGAAATCATTTATTATTTTTATTTATTTATTATTTACATTTTTATCCCGCCCTCCCCGGAGGCTCAGGGCGGCTAACAAGGCGTATCGCCAAATAAAACAATAACATAGTACAACATATTAAAAAATACATCACCATTAAAACACTTTTGGTGCTCCTCTCAACCAATTCCAAAATTACAGTTTCTAAAAGCAAGATGGCCGTCCCTTAAACGTCCTGTTCTCGCCCATGATGCAGCGATTATGGGGCGTTGATGGTACATCATGCCCAATGTGTCTAGGCTTGGAGCCACAGGCTGCATGTGTACAATCCACTCATATGAACATTTACATGAAAATCGTGCTGTTTCCATTATGGAGCTCACTCTCAAAGGCTGCATAGGGTTGCAGCCTAGGAAATTAGATCTGTTGAAATCGGCATAAACTTTCACAAACAGCAGATGAAATAGTAAATCTATGACTGGACTGTACCACTTCAGATGGCCATTGAGAGCTGACATAACTAAGTGCTTGTCCTTACAACAAAATTCCCTGCACACAGGAACATGGCAAGTTAGGGACAGCGGTTCTTACCTCTCCCTGATACCTTGTTTTCTGTGCGAGATTATTTTTTCCCCATTTTCTTTTTCCTCTGTAGAGCATTTAGGTGTGCATTCTGAAGTGGTACAGGCAAGAAGCCAGTTGGTAAATAAGATGTCCGTTCAAAGGGAATATTAAAGAAAATCTAAAACTTTGCCTTACTTATTGATTCATATTTGTGTCTTTACATTTTTAACCTGCCACATGGCTCCAGGACTTTGACTGGTTTATGCACATTTTTTAATGTGAAGATTTCATGGAAATCACATCCAGATTTACCCTGGATGTTGTGGACATTGGTGTTTGCTTGAGGAAGGGGGGTGAACATGTTCTTGAATAAGGACATAGGCTGACCAGTTGGCATTGTATTCTGAATGTTTCAGTCTCCAATATCCGCTCTTAACAGGCAAGCTTAGATTGAGTTAAGATACTCAGTGTTCAAAACTCATGTTCTCCAGCTAGTTGAATAGGTACGTGGTTTTGCTTGTGAAATCACATTATTTTAATAAGGTCTGATATAATGTGAATAGCTCATTTTAGCAACAATGTGATCCTATGCATGTTTGCTTACAAATAAATATTTATGACTTTAGTGGCAGCTTATTTATTTATTTTATTTCATTTATACCCCGCCCTCCCCGCATGCGGGCTCAGGGCGGCTTACACAAGCACAAAAGTGCGGTAAAAATACAACAAGTTAAAACAAGGCACAAGTGCAGTAAAAGTTAACAGTTAAAACAGTTTAGGCAAAAATGCACATCTCACGCTATAGGCAGCCAGTGCAGCACTTTCAGCACAGGTTGGATGTGGTCCCATCTAGAGGCACCCACTACCAACCTGGCCGCCGCATTCTGCACCAGCTGCAGCCTCCAAATTTGCGACAAAGGCAGCCCCGTGTAGAGAGGGTTACAGTAGTCTAACCTCAAGGTGACCATCACATGGATCACTGTGGCCAGATCACCGCGGCTAAGGAGGGGGACCAACTGCGGCACCAGCGGTAGATGATAAAAGGTTGCTTTGGCAGTGGCCGCCACCTGGGCCTCCATCGTTAGGGTGGGGTCCAGGAGCACTCCCAAACCCCTAACCTCCGAAGCTGGCACCAGAGGTGCCCCATCGAAGGCCGGGAGCGGGAGCCCCAATCCCATACCACCCAGGCACAGGACCTCCGTCTTCGTCGGGTTCAGCTTATTCCAAAGTGTGTGGCATTTATATTAAAAATGCCATACAACTTAATTTTACACTTTTGTTCAACTTGTGTGTGTAAATTCATCTGCCTTGTTTTAGGCAAAGACAACTCTCTTCCTGTTTTCCCATTTTAAAGACACCATATCGTGGGGATGGAGGGAAACTGGGAACTGTACCATGGGTTTTCCTTTAAAGAAAATTAGTAAGCTTTTCTTTTATTAATTGTAACTTAAATGTCATTGGTATGTGATAGAAGTTGCATTTTTACATACAGCAGGTACTAATTAAAATCATTGGTAAGAATAAATACTGAACATATCAGAACAGTTGTGGAAGTTCCAAAGACAGTTTGATGTAAATCCAAGTTTTTGCAATATTTTCTATTAACGAAGTTGTGCTCTGATTTCAGAAACTCACTTTCTCTTACAGGTGAGCATATGGTGCTGTTGGCTTAAGTTCCGCTCTTCTCTCTAAAATGATATTGCAATGTAAATTTTTGATTGTCATATGTAAAATGTGGATCAGCCAAACAAATGCCTGTGGGAGCAGAAGTTAAAAATAAATTCAGTGAAATACCAGCTTGAATACTGCTCTATGCCCTCATATACTTGGTTTGGATTGCTTTAAATGAGATGATCTTTCATTAAAGTTCTTGGTGAATATACAGCTTATATTGAAGAAAACAAATTCTTGTACTAATCTGTCAGACTGAAATAAAAATAGCCATCTGAAATGGACAGAAATGAATTGTAATGTTAGTTTGCTTGAAGAGTTGTTCACATCTGTTTCAAAACAAAGTTCTTTGCTTTCCTGTTAACATATAACATCTTAGCTTGTTAAAATATTTTGAAGAGGATATGCACCTGGAATTGTTTTGCAAATAATGCTGTTATTTCACAGAGCTCAATATACTTGATATGAAGTAATGGGTAATTCATTTTACTGTGAAAAAGAAACACAGTCTAAGGAAGGTATTTCTACTACAGCTGATGAAAAAGTGCTTATAGTTTTCCCTTCCAAATACAGTTTGAAGATATTTATTTATATCTCTCCCTGGAGCTTGTGTGCTTCTGTGCACACTATTCTACATGTGGTAGCCTCCTAAAGTTTCTAAATTACTATGTTAACGAATTAGAGGGCTTAGAAGGTGTGTAATATCACATTTTCAAAGGAAGATTTTAAAGCCTGTTAGCCGCCCTGAGCCCGTTTGGGGAGGGCGGGATATAAATTTAATTAATAAATAAATTTTAAAAATCGACCATTTAAGGATGAAGAGTCAAACAAAGCTTCAAACTGTGTAACTATTTACAATGAATAGTTTAAAGAAATAAAAGCTCTCTCCACCCATAATTTCCAAGTCCCTTTTGAGTGGCTGCAGTTCCTCAATGCAACTGGTCCCAGTACCAAATCATTGTTTACAGATCTCCAAGTTAAATCTGCTGCGCTGTGACCCGCCTGCTATCCCTGCTGCTTCTGCTACCACAGTAGCTCAAGGGTCACCCTACATTTTGCAAGGTAGATAAAGCTACCTTTCCCTGTCCCAGGAGTCATAAAAATATTTTTACTACACAAATCCAGCAGTTCAGAGCTATCCCCTGACAGGTTTCGTTGGTCCTTCTGAATGTTCCAATCTGCTGGGTTATAGAGCCACGGCTTGCTATCTCACCCCCATTCTACAGGAATATATACCCAAGGACACAGATGTAGATTATGGCTGCTTCTATGCGGCATCTTCTTGTTCTGGCCAAAAAAACCCAAACTTGTTTCTAAGCAGCGTAGTAGCTACTTGAAAACAGCCCCATTAATTTTATTTAAACTAAACTTGTCTCCTTCTCTTGGCTCTTCCTCATGTGACCTTCATTCCAAACATTTTCTCCTTTTGCTTCCCTGTGATTCCTCTGTGATTTGTTGGTTTCCTAAAGAGCATCTTAATTTCATTTGAATGCTTTTTGAACACCCCTAATTTCTAACTGGACTTTTAGGTATAGATGCCCAAATCAATACATAATATAATAGATCCAGAATAAAAGAGCCATTAAGTGAGTTCAGAAGCAGTGTGCTCAAAACCGATTTCAATTACATGAAGACTATTCCACTTAAGAGTTTTCAGTGGGAAACTATTTAAGGCACTAATGGAACACACCTTTGTTTCAACCCTCTTAATACACCAAGATTTCTCACATCAATTTACCTCTTAGACAGGAATGGATCCTGTGCTCCATTCCAGAGTATTCTTGTGGAGTAAACAGCCTTCTGCTAACCAATCATTGTTTTTGTGTGCAGGTGGCTCTTGGCACCTGCTGAAGGTTCCACTGCTACAAAAGCAGAGCACCGGAACCAATCCAAAGCCTTCTCAACAGTTCTCTGAAAACTCTATATTTTCATTTCCACCTCCCAAATGTATTGGCGTTTTCTGATCTATTGCTAATTAACTGTATAAGCAACTGACTGCCACCAGATAAAGCATGAAATTTAAGGAGCTCCACAAAGATGGTGGGTCCAAATGCTAATTTAGTTTTTTTTTTTCCCTTTCTTCAGCAGCTGAACAATCACAAGTTGCAACAATAACCTTGTGCATGTGATGAAGGATGGTAAGATTTGGTAAGAGAATGTTTTCAGTGCCAAGCTTCAAAGTTAAGTTTTATATATACCACAGAAGAAAAACAGAGGAGACATATATATTTTTTTGGGTTGCTGTGAAGAAGCGCTTGACCATGTCATTGTCTGGACTGAAGATTACAACAAGCTTGACAGAAACTCTTATGATTTGCTTGAGATGGTGCATCTATCATCATCATTCTATCATAATGGACTTGACCTGCTGAGTAGTGGATTAAAGTCCTCACAAATACATTTCTAGAAACATAAACCTTGGCTTTTGACAAAATGAGTGGAACAGTGGGTTTCTTGGTTTCTTATTGAAGTGTTTGCTTGCATTATGCCCACCACTAGAAACATGCAAGTGGAGGTCTGAGAACTTTTGT